GCATGAATGAAGGAATATATCACTTCTAGTTACAGTTCTTGCTTATGGAAGAGGAATGCTGCTGATACTGGGAATGCAATGGGCAAGATCTGGTAAAATATGAAGTTGTCATTGTCAGACAGTTGCCCAGTCATCCCTGCCAGTCTCCCCCTACTTCCCTAATCTACACCTCCACATCCTCATTTCAGAACAGTAATAGATGCTATATTGGGGAGACACAGAAAAGAGACAGAGGGAGGCTGGGTGCTGTGGCTCATGCCTGTAACCCCAGCACTTTGGGAGGGTAAGGCAGGTAGATCACTTGAGGCTAGAAGTTCGAGACCAGCCTGGCCAACATGGTGAAACCCCCTCTCTACCCAAAATACAAAAATTAGCCTTGCCTGGTGGCGCATCCCTGTAATCCCAGCTACTCGCGAGGCTGAGGCAGGAGAATCACTTGAACCGAGGAGGTGGAGGTTGCAGTGAGCCGAGATTGTGCCACTGTACTCCAGCCTTGGTGACAGAGAGAGACTCCGTTTGGAAAAAAAAAAAAAAAAAGAGAGAGAGTGGGAGAGACAAAGGGAGAGTCTTACAAAAATCTGTTCAATTAGCAAATATCTGTTAACTTCTTGTCAAGTGACAGACACATTGCATAAAATGGAGAACATGACATACTTGGTCCCTGTCCTCATGCAGGGAAAGTCTACAGTTGAGGGAAGAAAGACAAGAGTAGGGGAAGGATGCAGAAGAAAAAGAGGAGAAATTAGCAAAATACCAAAAGAGTGAAGAATTTCAGTGATCACTGAATTAATACAGTGCTTGTGTTAATAGAAGTTGTTTAGAAATGAGTTTAAATCCCAGCCATCTGCTCCCACATCAAACACACCTACTGTACCCATGATTTTGCCCTTCCCCCACATACATATGCATCCCAGTAATCATCTGGTGATTTTTAAATGAATTCTCACGTCAATAATAAAAATTACACTTGATTCAAACCAGTGAATTGTAACCCAGATCTAAGTATAAATATAGTGGAAATCGTAAGTTTCTTTAGTGACAGTCTTACTAATCAAGTTATTTGGCCTGTTTTTAGCCACATGGGATATTTTTTCTTTTTAAGGTTGCTGTGAGTGTTGTTTGTAGCAGCATCAGTAAGCCAAGAATTCACATAGTTACTCAATCACACAGATTACTCATCATTGCCTGTTCATAACAGAATCCTAAAATGTTTAAGATTTCTAATGCAAATCAAAATCTCATCATCACTTGTCATTGCTAAATTAAATGACAGGATAATAACATTACATTAAAACCATTTTTCTCTTGATTGAGTACCTTTTTCAGAAGTGAACCTTCTAGATGTATATTTTTTTCATCAGTACTATAAATGCATTTAGAATCCAAGATAAAAATAGAATTTAAAGGGGAGGAGTGGGATGTTTTCAAATTATTGATGAGGCTCTTTTGAATCTCAACCATATTTGACAGTGTACTGCAAGGGAATGGAGTAGTTCAGCTCAATTTATTGACACTTTTAGAGCTATATAAGGGAGGTTAACAGGTTGAGCTTGGTCCTTATTGAAACAATCGTGTGTTCTTAGCATCAGTTATAAGTCATCCCCTTGCAAACTGGCTGTTAGGGACCTATAGGAATTGGCATTGCTTTGTTCTAATATAAGATACTGGCTTCAGGTAGATCACAATCTATGTGGGAAATTAATATAGATTTCTAACCTGTAAAAGCAGCATAGGTTCTCAGTGGCCTTACTATTGTGAACTTACTTCTTTACCTTTCTTTCCTATCTAAAGCTAATTAACCTTTTATGGTCACACCTGCCCTCTTTTTATCTCTCCCTCTGGCCCTTGGCCCACTTCTTTGTGGCCAACTAGCCTATGTTTGTGCCACCTGCGCCCATCTTCTTCACGTGCCCTAGAACTCCCCAGAACGCCTCTTTCATTTTAAAGTCAATCATTTCCTTCCATCCTTCAAATATTTTATTTCTTCATACCTTCCATCTTTAATATGAAATATAAAAATCATACCCTGGATCAAACCTTTTATTATTTTTGCCTCACTTAATACTATCATCATTAGGCAATAATAGCATTATGGTAAAAATTCTTACCTCTTGGAGAAACTGATGAAGGTATTGACTCAAACAAGATTGGCTATGAGATGATAATTATTAAATTATTAAATCTGGATGATAGGTGAATGAGGGCAAGGGAAGTCAATATGCTGCTTTCTCTACTTTTATAGGTTTGAAACCTTCCATAATAAAAATTTAAAAATAACTTAGCTCTTTAGGGTTCCTTTTTTAAAACAGATGCTCTTTTTGAGTGAGTGCATGAAATGATGTGGTATGCAGGATGGCCTAAGACTAAAACCTGATCCTGCTGTCTGAACACCCCACTCTTACTCTACCCCTTAGTAAACAAAAAAGATTCTTTAGTACCTGGAATTGTAACTTCCCTCTCTCCTTAGGTCCTGTACTTGATTATCAGAATCCTGATACACTTCCTGCTTCTTGTTAAAGTAACCAGATAAATCCATATAGAAATATACATTAATTTCATCCCATTTATTAAATCCCACTGTGAATAAAGTTCTGTGCTGGCATTAGGAAAGGGAATATGAAGGAAAGGTATTCATGAATAACCCTGATGCAGTACACTAGCCACAGTAGTGGGCTCTAGCAGACAGAGAGGAATTCTGTCAAAGAGACTCATTCTTGATAATGATGCAAACTACTAAATGTCATCCTAAAGGAAGAGACAATCTTCCTTGCTTCTGCTCGTAATTCTAAGTGTTAAGACTATTTAGAGCTCTACCATATAGCCTTCCCTCTCTTCTAAAGAACTTAAATTGATTACAGTTACCAATATGCCTTTTTTCTTCTCTTTTTAAATTACAATAGTCTTACTTCTCGTTTGCCAAAAACTGGAGAAACCATCCACGGACATAAATTTTTTATTGGCTTTGGAGGGAAAGGTGCCAACCAGTGTGTCCAAGCTGCTCGACTTGGAGCAACGACATCCATGGTGTGCAAGGTAAGTATGAAGTATAGTGGAGAGGATTCTAGAGGTAAGAATCTGGTTTTAAGACTGGAGTTCATTGTTTTTATTTTTTTCAACCATTTTAAAGTGAACCATTCAGTGGCTTATAAAACGTAGAGTGGCATTTAATACATTCAACCACCACTTCTGTCTTGTTACAGAACTTTACTATCATTCCAAAACAAAATCCCTTACCCCTTAAGCAGTTCCTTCTCATTCTGTCTTCCATTTAAGGCCCTGGGAACCACCAGTCTTCATTCTATCTCTATGGATTTATCTGTTCTGGACATTTCATATAAATGGAATATATATTATGTGACATTTTGTACCTGGCTTCTTTCACTTAGCATACTGGTTTTGGGGTACAACATTGTAGCATATATCAGTATTTCCTTCCTTTTTATGGTTGAATAATATTCCGTTGTATGGATATACCACAATTTTTTTGTTCATCAATGAATGGATTGATGGATGCTTGGGCTGTTTCCACCTTTTGACTCTTATGAACAGCATTGCTACCAACATGCATATACGTCTACTTGAGTACCTGCTTTCAGTTCTTATGGAAGTTTATTGTTTTTAAAGATCTAAATGAGAGAGAGTAGTCTCCCTTGTCCTTTATATTAATGTCTACCTCATTACATCCTCTGGGAAGTAGCAGTTCTCAAATAACTTAATGCTGCATTCCCTGAATGTAATGAGTTTCTAACTGGGGTGTGAGAAGTGAGGGAAATTAGCCTACTCCAGTGGGTTTCTGCCATCCAGCTTCTAAACAACAGCATGAGTCATCCTGTTTTTAGCAGGTTTCACTGCAGCAACACAGCTTTTGGAAACTTCGTGTAATAACTGGTGATTTACTCATCTCTAAGTCATTTTCTTCTAATGCTGTATCTTAGATCTGAAAAGAATCTTGGTCTTAATGAACTGCACATAACTGATCTTTTGGCATTGTTTTGTTTTCATGTATGTAGAGATATGATATTGTAACATCCAGTATTCCTGTTTTTATCCATGCTACTGAAATAATTTGAAAATAAACGGGCTGCCAATAGTTTACATTTTTCATTTTTCATGAAATTTTAAGGTGCTAGCATTATAGTATTAGTATAACAGGAAAGGTAGATAATTGTGTTTGTTTGATTTTTAGGGAAAGCCAGGCTGGGTCTGTACATTATTAAAGGGCAAGAAAAATACAAGGAACTTAAAAGAATGAGCTTTCTCCTGTGAACTATATAGATTTTACCAAAAATTCTCAAAATGTCATTTTTCATTGCAGTCAGCACTTTTCTCTCCACAGGAGTTTTAAATGATGTATAAACTATACAATTATCACTTCATCTGCTAGTGAACTGTAATTTTATGTCTAACCTATGATTAACATAATTTTCACATGGCTATTGGGTCAAAAACATCACGTGAAGCATAAGATTCAAAGTAAGAAACCCTCTTTCGCTAAGATTGAGCTCTTGATAGATTTAAAATATCATTGTAATTAATCAGCAACTAATTATGTCCCAGGAATTATGGGGCTGTGAGAGGGGGCTGATTAAAAACTTAGGCCTGACCCATCTCGTACCTGATTAGCTGTGGAAGGTTTGGAGAGTGATCAGATGGTGCTGACTTAATTAAGAGGACCTGGGAACTGGAAAGAGGATGATACAATTTCCTGTGTAGGAAAACCTGGACGTAGAATTGGCGTTGGAAGCTATGTACCCAAAATGGCTTCCTGAAAGAGGGGAGTTCCTAGAGCTGGAGACGTTAAAGGAGAGATTAGAGAACCCCTCCCTCTTGGAAGCTTTATAGAAGCTATTTATGTAGCCATTAAAGTCAAGATTGGATGTCCCCTGGGATCTCTTCCAAGCCTAAGATTATGAAATTGGTTTTATTTTAGGTCTATTGAATTTGAGGTAAAGAAAGAAATGACAAAAAGAAATATTTGAATTATGGAACTGAACTTGGGAAATGAATCCTAAAACCATATGAGTGGATGGGAGAGGAATAGAAGCAGGGGGCTGTATTTTGAGAAATGTTCCAGTTAGGAGGTTGATTAAAGCAAAAGTACTATTTGCGTATGACAGTTTATGTTAGCATCTGTACAATGTTGAAAGTTCTATATATCTACCATGCCCCTGATTTAGTCATCTAATGTTTAACACCGCAGTGGATTTTAGCCTGTGTGTCTGCATAGCAGAGGATCAAAAAACATGACTGTAGCTAAAACCTATCCAGGGTAACTTTGGTTAGATAACCTGGGACCTTTAGACATGGAATTATTTAAAAGCTTAAGCAAATTGCACAATATTCTTAGACTTCTTAAAAAGAAAATAATATATTTTTATAATAGAAGTTATTTCTGTCCATTAATCATATTTTATCCATTGTGAAATACATTTTTATTAAGCAAATTAGTCAAACTTGCTTTATAGCAGTTTTGTTTTTTTTTTTTTTTTTTTTTAGATGGAGTCTCGCTCTGCCGCCCGGGCTGGAGTGCAGTGGCCGGATCTCAGCTCACTGCAAGCTCTGCCTCCCGGGTTTACGCCATTCTCCTGCCTCAGCCTCCCGAGTAGCTGGGACTACAGGCGCCTGCCACCTCGCCCGGCTATTGTTTTGTATTTTTTAGTAGAGACGGGGTTTCACCGTGTTAGCCAGGATGGTCTCGATCTCCTGACCTCGTGATCCGCCCGTCTTGGCCTCCCAAAGTGCTGGGTTTACAGGCTTGAGCCACCGCGCCCGGCCTATAGCAGTTTTTTAAAGATGACAAGTTCTAAGTAGAAACCAAAACTATGAAATTTATCAAGATAAAAATGAACAGATGGAGCAAAAGAAAAACAGGTAAAAATTTTCTATGGCTTTCTCAGCAAGATTGATTTACCTGTTACTACCTATAACAAACTAAACTTCAAGCTCTTACAAAGTAAGACTGATGGCCCAAACAAACTTCTTATATTGAGCTAGGGAGAAATATTTGTTAAGATATTGTGACAAAGAATATTAAAAGAGTTACCTCAATATTTATACAGTGATACATGTATAATGAAACATTTGAAGTACTTAAAAGTTATTTAGTCAGTTTTTAACTGAGTCATGGACCAAAGCTACAGTCCAGTGATAAATGGAGATGGTATTTTCAGATTTAAAATCCCCGCAGATATTGTATAGTATGAAAGTCGTCCTCCCAGGACAAAGAGCCTATTAGGACATCTTTCTTAAGACTTCACCTGAGTTAAGTGTTTCCTGCTCCATTCCATTGAAGCCAAATGTTAAGAGGAGGAAGTTATTCCTAAACATCAAAAATTGGCAGTTCAGGAGAGGACCATGGTCAAGTAAGGAACTCAAGATGCAGTGGCCCAATATGAGCACAGAAACCATGAGCAGGTATGAACCCAAATGACCCAGGTCAGGAATCAGCAAACTGGAAACACCTTCAAAAAATTACCCTGTCTTACTTCTTTCAAATATGAGACTGTCAAACTCTCTAATACAGGTAGCTATCTGTTCTCCCTTCAGAACCATCAAGCATGAAGTTTTGTGACAGAGGTGATACTGATGCAGGCTGCCCTGGTGGGCTTAGCCAGGGAGGGTTCTTGGCTTTGCCCAGGCAAGAATTTAAGAGTGAGCCAAGGATAAGAAAAAGCCACTTTGACTGAACCAGTGCTGCACGGCTAACCCATAGGCTGGGTGCCCAGAGGGTAGTGTATGGACTGTTAGCAACTATATTTACATGTACTTTAAATTATATGCTAATTAAGAGGTGGGTTATGCAGAACTTTTTGGAAAAAGGGTGGGGAATTTTCAGAACTATATAAGGTAACTTCCGGGCCATTGCCATGGCATTTGTAAACTATCCTGGGTCCAGTAGGAGCATCTTGTGCTAATGAGCAGTGAGAGCAACTAGAGGTCACTTTCCTCCGTTTCAGCCAGCTTCTTCATTGCACCATGTTTTGACCAGATCCTGCTTCCACCAGCAGGGTCCAACCGGAAAGTAAGACCTGCTGGCCTCCTAACTCGGTGTATTAAGGCGGTGTTGTTCAAAGTCCAGTCCTCAGACTGGTGCCAGGCTGCATGTAGATTGTCACTGGTCCAAACAGTACAGGAATTGAGAGTAAGCAGTTAGGATCATTTATAGCAATTTGACAGAATAACTTCATAGCTGTTGAATATAATAGTAATAATAAATTAGGCCTTGTAGTTTGTATGACTCTTTTTTGTTTTCATCTCCTTGTTATTGTATTTTATAAAATAGTCCACAATGGGTTGAAAGCCAGAAAAGGAAAACAAGGCCAATGTTTCTCCATGGATAGCTTGAAAAGCAGTGCATTAGAGTATCCATCACCTTAACCAAAAAGTACCTTCTGTGCTAGATTACTGTGGGAGAATCATCTGATCATGCATTGAGATTTTCATTTTCAGAGATCAAAAATTAGTCACCAGGTCTTTCCAGGTAATATATAATGAGGTGAAATCTGTCCTTTCCTGAACTCTGTTGAAAGACAGCTAGCTAAAAGTAGTTGGCTCTGTTGATTGGAATGCTCAGCCATATGTTCAAACAAATGATCCTATAACCAAGCAAATAGTATACACCTTACATAAGAAGAAGTGGTAGAAATGAGAGAAAATAACTGGATTATCTCAAACCTATCACCACTCTCATATAATCAGGCCTAATAATGGTGATTGTAGCATTAACTTTGTGTATTAAATGTCTTCATTTTTTTCTGAAACAGGATCTCACTCTGTTGCCCAGGCTAGAGTGCAGTGGTGCAAGCTGGGCTCACTGCAGCCTCAGCCTCCCCGGGCTCAGGTGATCCTCCCACCTCAGCCTCCCAAGTAGCTGTGACTACAGGCACATGCCACCATACCCAGCTAATTTTTGTATTTTTTGTAGAGACAAGGTTTCACCATGTTGCCCAGGCTGGTCTCAAACTCCTGAGCTCAAGCAGTCAGCCTGCCTTGGCCTCCCAAAGTGCTGGGATTACAGGTGCACACCACCATGC